AGAGAGCTTGATCTCCTGTGCGTTCAGCCGCTTGCCCGCAGGGTAGGCGGCGCGCGTGGAGTTGGCCTTCGGCTGGGCCTTGGCCTTGGGCTTCTTCTTGGGGGTGGCTCCTGCTCGTTGTTCCTGTGGCTCCGCAGCTGGTTCGTCTCTCTCTCCTCCGACCTCTCCGGCTTTGCCCGGGGCGCCGCGCGCCCCATGCATCGCGTCGTTGAGGACGGTCTGGAGGTAGCGCTGCTGCCGAGGACGTACGTAGCCCGTGGGGGACTCGAGGTCGAAGACGTTGGGGAAGACGAACGCCGGGCGTCCGTCCGCCCTGGGAGCGAAAGCCACCATTTTGAGATCCTCCTTCCTGGGGTTGTCTGTCTGCAACACGCGTAGGAGGCCTCGCTTCTTCTCTCGAAGTCGTTCACACCAGGTCGCCCACAGCTCCTCCCACAGCTCGTATACGAACTTGGGCGGGAAAGCGTGGTCGTCCTTCTCGCACTCCCGCGCGAGGGTCTCCAGGCAATCCAGAGGCTCTTTGATATGCTCTCGTCCGAAGACGAGCCCGAAGAACTTGGTCATGTTCTGGGCCTGCCGCTTCCACTGGTCAAAGACCATGGGGGCCCTGGGCCTGGGTTCCAGCTTAGCGTCGTGCGGTGCGCTGTACTTGTCGAACGCGACCGTCTTGCACGTCGGGAAGTCCGCCACGGAGGCCGACCACGGAGCCAAGTTGTCCAAGCTGCTGCCGCCGAAGCTGAGCGAGGCGCAGGCCATCGCGATCCGGTTGGACACTGTCGTGGGCGTCTCGACGGCGAGCATCAGGGCCTTGTTCTGCTCACAGGTCCGGCGCAGAGCATAGAACAGCTCGCGCCCAAGGACCTCGTCGCAGACTGCCACTGTCAGCTGGCCACACCCGCGCGCCAAGTAGACGTCCAACTCCTCTGCTCTCCCCAGTGCGGCCACCGTCCCTCGCTGGGCTGCCTTGTCACCCTGGCGGGCACTGGCGACCCCTTCCAAGGCGTGGAGCATCCGCGCGGTGTTCGCGTCGAGGGGTGCCCCGGGGTGCGCGAGGCCGAATGCATGGGTCGCTGCCTCCGCCCTCCTCCGGGGCTCCGGCTCCTGCGGCATAGCGCGCTGGAGCTGCGGTCAGACCTGGGGGTAGGCCCAAGTCGCTGACGTGCTGGTCGTAGCGGAACAGGGCCCCGATGTTCGGAGCCTGTGGGCGGACGACCGGGGCCAGCCCAGCCGCGGTGGCTGGGAGGCCGGCGTCCCGCGGCCCGAAGGTGAAGGCTGGCGTGGCTGCTGCTGGCGAGAGGGGTGGCCGCGCTTCGAACAGGGGCGCGCTGTCGGCCTGGGTGGCCGGCGGCCCCTGCGAGCGGTGGCGCTCGGGCGGGAGCCTGGGGAGACCCTGAAGGCTACTCGGCGCCGCCTCTGGGGTCTGAGGTCGTGAGGGCACCTGCTGGAGCGCCTCCCAACTACCGATGTGCCCATCGAGCCGCGCGAGCTCCTCTGGCTCGGTCGTCTACTGCTTGAGGTGCTGGGCGTAGCGGACAAGGCTAGCGAGCACTTGCTGGGCCTCCTCGTCGAAGCCGGCGGCCGCACTCTGCACCGCCGCCGCGTCGCTCGACCCGCGAGCATTCTCCTCCAAGTAGCATGCCATCATGTCCCCGCCGTCGTCCCCTTGATGGCTCTCTCCTGATACTGGCGCTTCGGAGCTCGCTGCCCGCCCGCCCTCGGCGGACGGGGAGCGTGAGCCGCGACGCGTGGACCCGGCTGGTGGCCTGGGCGAGCTGCTGCGGTCAAGCCGCTGCCAGTGGTTGCGCAACTTAGCGTCAGCCTCTGTAGCTCTCACTTCGAAGTTCGGACTGGGCGCCACGCCTCCCTCGGGGTGCCACCTGACCAAGCTGACCACCTTCTCACGGAGCAGCCGCCAGCGAGCCTCGCTGAGCGGCCCGGCTCGCCCGCCCACGGGGAGCCCATGCCACGCCGCCAGCTTATGTCAGACTTTCTCGGGTACGTTGGTCGCCGAGACGCTGATGCCGAGCTCCTCGCAGCCCAGGGGCGCGTGGTGGAGCATCTCCTCGATGAACCCCGCTGGCAGACGCCCTGAGGATCCTGGGGCAGGCGCACGGATGACGCCGTCAGGCTTCACGAGAAAGCGGATGGTCGCGCCAGTTGGGTCCTCCACCTCGAGAGCCATCGCGCCGTCGAGGTAGTCAGCCACTGCGCTGGCCGCGGCGGCGTCGGCCGCCCTCCCTCTGAAGATCATCCACTGCGCTCTTTCTGGCCACTGTACCCTCGCCCGAACGATGAAGTATCGCCCGAGGGGCATTGGCGGCGGCGTGGGCGGCTTGGGGAACTCTGGAACCGGCGGCGCCTCGAAGCGCACGCTCGGCGGCCCAGCCGGCGCAGGGACGGGGTCGCCCGGGCTGGTGGGCGCCTCTGGAGCAGAGACCGCCGGAGTGGAGCGCTCTGGTGTGCGACTCCGGGCTGGTGCCGCGGCGGCACGCTCAGGCGTGCGGCTCCGCGGAGCAGGGCTCCGCCGGGCTCGACGTCGCAGACCCGCGAGGAACCCGACTCCTGTGGGGTTGTCGTGGAGCGCTTTGGCGGCATCGCCTCCGAGGTGCTGCAGGCAGAGTGGGGCCCCCGAGGCCATGCCCACCGCCTCGCGGAAGCACGTCACCTGGGAGCACTTCTCGCCATAGCGCAGGGCCATATAGATCTGCCTGTGATGCTCGCAAAGGCAGGCTGTCGCGTTCCCCTCGCTAGGAAGTGCGAGGTCCGAAGCCCGGCCATCCTCCACCAAGAGCACGGTCGGATCGCCGCGTGCGGCGTCTCGACAGCCCTCGGGCGCCAGCGGGCGCATCTTGCCCTTGATCATGATCCCCACCTTCACCGCCTCGCAGGGGTTGTCCTCGGCGTCTACCTCGGACTCGGACTCCTGGTCAAGCAACCTTGCCACAGATCCCTGCACGCCAAGCTCCGCGTCGCCAGTCCTGTGACGGCGGCGGCGCCGGCGGCAGATGCACGCCCCGCAGCACGAAAGCCATGACAGGACGTGCAGCAGCAGCTTGTAGACGAGGCCCAACCACCTCCAGAGCCAGACGAAGATCCGGCAAGGCGTGAACTTTGAATAGTCGCCGACGTCCACGATAGCTTCGTTGTCAAGGGCGGCATACACCTTGCAGTGCAGCTCGTTCTCGCGCCCCTTGCATCCGGTACAGCTGGTGGAGCGACACAGGTGGAGCCAGCGCGGATCGCGCTGCTCTAGTTCGCGCCTGAAGCCCTTGTCGCTAGCGCCCTTCACATAATCATACTCAACCCACAATCCCTGGCGATTGATGCGCTCCGAGGACTTTAATGTTGAGCTTGAGTCGCGCGACCCGGTAGTCGACCCTGATCAGGAGGTCGTTCTTGCCGCGCTTGGAGCCCCTGCCCTCCTTGATGCTCTTGCGGTACCAGTCGGTCGTCGGATCTGCACCTACGGCTGGGCCGTGCCACACCACGTCGGTGAGGGCGGCGCCGCCGGCGGGGCCAGCTTGTCCAGCTTAGCCTCGCCGGGCGTCTTGCGCCTCGGGCAGGGGCAGCGCGCCAGCACCAGGCCGCATGTCCAGGCTGCCCAGCTGCAGGGTGCGAAGAGCGTCTTCAGGCTGTGGGCCAGGAGTGCGACCACGCCAGTGCCGGAGAGGATCGCCACGAGCCCGGCGATCAACGGCCACGCGGAGCCGAACAGGTAGAGGCCCACCTGGTCGATCTGCCATGTACAGCACCCAGCCGCCGTCGGAGCTCAACCAACCTCCTGCCTCGCGAGTCGAGAAGGCCGACCTGAAACTCCCCACAACCCGGAAGGTACCCCCGCCCATCCCCTCGGCAAACCAGTGCGTGCGTTTGCCGATGTCTTTCCAGCTGATGCCGAAAAGACCCCAACCCCTGATCCAGGACGATGGGCCCCCGTCGGAGGGGTCGGGGGGGGTGTGGGCCGGGCCCTGGGGGGGTGGGTCGGCCGGCGGCGCAGAGCGCGCGCGCGGCGGGCCCCCCCCACCGCTCCCTGCCGGAGCGGCACGCCCGCTGGCGGAGTGAACCCCGACCGGCAGCGCGTCCACGCGCGCGGAGGAGTCCATGGGCCCGTCGAGCCAGAACCCTTTCATGTCCACGCTCGCCTCGTCGTCATACTAGTAGACCTCGAGGTCGGGGGCCGCCTGCCCGTGCATGAGCTCGGCGCTGGCCACCCCCACCATCTCCATGAGGATGACGAGTGGAGCTGCGGCCCAACCCGGGCGCCTGCCGACGAGCGGCGGCGCCGAGGCCCCGGGGCAGCTCCTCCAGGCGGGCCCCGGCGCGCGTGCGCGCTTCGCCGCCCTCGCCTGGTCCTGAGCGGGCGCCGGCGCTGATGCGCGCCCGGCCGCCCGCTCGGCGGCGGCGGGCAGCGCCCATACGGCTGCCGCCCCTCCGCCCCCGGATGCTCCGCGGCTAGCGTGAGCCGGCGCCGCTCGGCACCCGGGCTCTCCGCCGCTGCGCAGTTGCGCGCCCTCGGGCAGCAGCGCTGCCGCCCCCGAGCCGCGCGGCGCCAGGCGCGGTCCCATCCGGCCGCGGGCGCCCCCCTTCGGTCCTGGTCCTGGTCCCGAAGGTCTTCCGGCCCCGGTCCCGGGGCCCGGCCTTAGGCCACCTGAGGCCGACCCCCAGCTTGGCCTTGAAAAGGCTTGAGCCGCCAAGCGGCGGCGAAGAGAGAGGGAGCGAGAAAGGGCAAGCAAAGAGGCAAGGGCAGGAGCAAGGGAACCGCAAGTGGAAGCCCGCGCCAGTTCTGGAAGCGGGGAGATCCATCAGTTTTACCAAACATCCTAATTATAAACATCAGATTTCGGAGGTCTGCGCAGATTTCTCCGATCGGCACTAGAGCTCCCTGGCGGCGCCTCGCCTGGCGTGCTCCGCGCGCCAAGGAGAGGGGTCCAGCGCTGATGCAAGAAATCCGCGCAGACCTCCAAAGTTCTTGTTTATGCCCTATTTGTTCCCCGAGATGCGCCCACGCCTGGGGGTTGGCAACTGTCCCTCGAAGAAGAACGGCGCAGTTGCGGCTATCTGCGCAACTTTTCCATGAATTCAGTTCATTCTGGCTCCAGGCAGAACGGGTGTTTCCGCTTCAATGTTTCAAGCTACGCTGCGCTGTTCGCAGGCGTTCGTTTTCTGGCGTTTGCCTGAGCGTCTTGATTGAGTGACTCTGTTACAATATCTCCGTCCCCCTTCCTTTTTCCCGGAAAGGGCGTAGGCCCAGGGTTCTCTTTTAGTTGGTTCACCCCCGGTTTTTATTTGAAGGGGGCCGGCGAATTTCTTGTGCGATAAATTACGAGGTCGAAGGGGGCCGGCGAATTAAAATTGTGAGGACGAAGGCCATTTTTCGCCACCCCTCACGCAGATCGTGCTCTTGGAATTTTACTGCCTTTAAGGAAACTTCGATATTTCACAGGTGGAGTCCGCTTTTTTCCGACATCGACTTTAAACGATAAAATTATCCCGGCAAAGCGACCTAACAGCGATGTGTAGGAGCATATTTGGAAGCATTCCCCTTAAGATTCAGATGAGAATCCAGTTGTAGAATTCTGCTGTTCTCGCAGTCGTATTCGCATTCGCGATGACAGTCGCAGCGGCAACGGCAGTCACAGTCGCAGCCTCAGCCTCAGCCTGCCTCAGCCTCAGCCTCAGCCTGCCTCAGCCTCAGCCTGCCTCAGCCTCAGCCTCAGCCTGCTTCAGCCTCAGCCTCAGTCTGCCTTCAGCCTCGGCGTCAGCCTCAGGCTGCCTCAGCCTCAGCCTGCATCAGCCTCAGCCTCAGCCTCAGCCTGCCTCAGCATCAGCCTGCCTCAGCCTCAGCCTCAGCCTGCCTCAGCCTCAGCCTCAGCCTGCTTCAGCCTCAGCCTCAGTCTGCCTTCAGCCTCGGCCTCAGCCTCAGCCTGCCTCAGCCTCAGCCTGCCTCAGCCTCAGCATCAGCCTGCCTCAGCATTCAAAATGTGGCCCGGGAATGGAGTTCTGGGAACTCGAAGAACACGAAGTGGCCTACAGTTGGCTCCGGGCATTCAAAATCATGCCCAGGAATGGAGTTCTGGGAACTCGAAGACCACGAAGTGGCCTACAGTTGGCTCCGGGCATCCAAAATGTGGCCCGGGAATGGAGTTCTGGGAAGTCGAAGAGCACGAAGTGGCCTACAGTTGGCTCCGGGCATCCAAAATGTGGCCCGGGAATGGAGTTCTGGGAGGTCGAAGAGCACGAAGTGTATGACTGTTGGCTCCGGTTATTCAAAATGTGGCCCGGGAATGGAGTTCTGGGAGGTCGAAGAGCACGAAGTGTGTGACTGTTAGCTTAAAACGAGCCCGGTTATGTTCCCGGTTCTCCTCCCCGGCACCCGCCCAGACCCCCCTGAGGAGTCATGATGCTCTCTTTTGACACCACTAGAAACCTATCAGAAAACGCTGTTAGGTAAAAACGAGGTAAACGCGTTCGCTCGATAAATCACGATGTACCGCGGCCTCCGGAACGGCGCTGGGAACGAAGTTTTGGATTCTTGAAGTTGCATAAGTTCGGAAATAGCAGAAATCCTTTATATTTTTTGACTCTGACCCCGCGGATCTGCGTGAGGGGTGGCACCGAATTTCAGAAATGTGGCAAATCCCTTATGTTTTTGGACCCTGACCCCGCGGATCTGCGTGAGGGGTGGCACCGAATTTCAGAAATGTGGCAAATCCCATGTGTTTTTGGACCCTGACCCCGCGGATCTGCGTGAGGGGTGGCACCGAATTTCAGAAATGTGGCAAATCCCCTGTGTTTTTGGACCCTGACCCCGCGGATCTGCGTGAGGGGTGGCACCGAATTTCAGAAATGTGGCAAATCCCATGTGTTTTTGGACCCTGACCCCGCGGATCTGCGTGAGGGGTGGCACCGAATTTCAGAAATGTGGCAAATCCCGTGTGTTTTTGGATCCTGACCCCGCCGACCTGCGTGAGGGGTGGCACCGAATTTCAGAAATGTGGCAAGTCCCATGTGTTTTCGGACCTTGACTTCGCCCAGGAGGGCCCAGGAGGCTCCAGGAGAGCCCAGGAGAGCCCAGGAGGGCCCAGGAGAGCCCAGGAGGGCCCAGGAGGACCCAGGAGGCTCCAAGAGGCACCAGGGGGCCCAAGGAGGGCCCAGGAGAAGCTCCAGGAGGCTCCAGGAGAGCCCAGGAGGGCCCAAGAGGTCCAAGGAAGACCCAGGAGGGCCCAGGAGCCCTTACGAGGGATCGTGGCCCTGGGACCGCTGACGTGCCGTGGGGGGCCTCGTGGGGGGCCAGAATTCAAAGGATGTCTCAGGCAAAATGCTTGTTTTCACGTCCCGCTCGCAGGAATTCAAAGGATGTCTCGCGCGTGCTGCGTCCCGCGCGCAGGAATTTCGCGGATGTCTCGACTAATTCGTTTGTTTAGCCAGGCTTTCCTTGGATTTTGGCAGGATGTCTCGAGCGAAACGCTTGTCCCCAGCACGTTCCGTAGCGCGTCCCCTTGGCACGTCCCGCGGTGTGTCCCCATGGCACGTCCCTTGGCACGTCGTTGGGCGCGTCCCTTGAGACGTTCCGCGGCGCGTCCTCCTGGCATGTCCCCCTGTCAATTAGCTCTGGGGCAGCTACTCTGTGTTCAGGCAGCTGGAGCTTAAGATCGAGATCAGCTCGGTCAGGACTCGGATGCAAAGAAGGACTCGATCCACGAGGCTATAGAGCATAATCGCGGCATGGCGCATCGCAATTCAGCACGGCGCAGCACAGCACAGCCTTCGGCACGGTACATCAAGATCGATACACTCAGCATTGCAACTTGGCACGTTCCTTGGCACGTTCCGTGGCGCGTCCCCTTGCGAGTCTCCCTTGCACGTCGCGTGGCGCGTCCCCTGGCACATCCCGTGGCACATCCATTGGCATGTTCCGTAGCGCGTCCCCTTGGCACGTCCCGCGGTGCGTCCCCATGGCACGTCCCCTGGCGCGTTGACTGGCGCGTCCCTTTGGACGTTTCGCGGCGCGTCCTCCTGACATGCTCCCCTGTCCATCAGCTCTGGGGTAGCTACTCTGTGTTCAGGCAGCTCGAGCTTAAGATCGAGATCAGTTCGGTCAGGACTCGGATGCAAGGGACTCGATCCATGATGCTATAGAGCACATTCGCGGCATGGCACATCGCAATTCAGCACGGTGCAGCACAGCACAGCCTTCGGCAGGGTACATCGAGATCGATACACTCAGCATTGCATTTGCCCGTCACCCAATCAGGTGTCTTTGAAAACGCTGCCATGTGTTACAGTTCTATATTCTTTTCCGGGTTCGTGGGTCGATCATGCTACTGATTGGACAGCGTCTCTACAGGCCGCGATGTCGATGTTCGCTTTGCGAACACACGTGTGTCATCGACAATGGCAATGGCAATGACATCCAGTATTTCAACTCGCTGACTCCCACCAGTGATTGTGCTTTGCAGCAGTCCTACATTCTCTGTGGTCGCAGTGGTAATTAGCAGGGTCAACTTGATGTAGTCCAGCGAATTAACAGCCGCTGTTGTATCTCGCACGCCTCTGCGCTTGGCGATATTTGTAGGCGTTCCGTCTGCCCCCCCCAAGACCTCTCTAAATGCATGCCCATGGCAGGAATCGCGTAAGGTGACGGAGGCAGAGGCAAATCCTCGCCCCGAGTAGATGACAGCCTTGCGCGGCAGAAAGCTCTGCATAGTTTTGTACACAGTTGCGATGGGGGCCACGCCCAGGTCGGGGGATCGGGATGTGGTAGGGATAGGGACAGGGAGTGCCACGCGCGGAGATCATGTTGATAACCATCCTACTACTATCACCAATAGGTGTCATGCAACTGCGAACGCTAGTACGACTGTTAACACAGTTGCCTTCGGCCCATCCCGCCCTCGTTCCTGGGTTGTTGGCCAGAGTTCGCAGGGATGCTTCTTGGGGTCTCTTCGGGGCGCTCTCGGGCGCCTCCTGTGGGCAGCTCTGGGTCCTCTCGGGAGCCTCCTGGGGGCCTCGGTCCCCTTTGGGGCCTCTCGGGAGCCGCTCGGTGCCTCTTGGGGGCCGCTTGGACCTTCCTGGGCGGGTCCGCGGGGTGGAACTTTCCTTTCGGGTCACCCATCTGCCCGCCCCTCCCACTTTGGAGCCGTTGTTTGGCGTCTTGGGCGCGCCTTGGGCCGTCTCAAGGCCCTCCTTCGTGGGCCGTTTTGGAGCCCCCTTGGAGCCTTCTTGGGCCGCCTCGGGGCGATGTTTGGGGCCTCTTGGACCGTCTTGGAGCGTCGGGAAGCCGAGCAGGCGAGAACTCGAAAATCCTTCAACAATCAATGGAACATCAAAGATTGCGAATGCCTTATGGCCTGTGCCGCCGACCCTGAAGGGGGACGTCGACGACGACGGTGGCGGTGGCGGCGGCGGCGACGACGACGACACTGACGTCGGCCCGAGTCCTCGGGGATGCCTCTTGGGGTCTCTCGGGAAGGCTCTCGGGGGCCTGTGAGGAGGAATGTTGGGGTCTCTCGGGAGCCTCTTTATGGCCTTTGGGGGGCCTTTTCGGGTGTTCTGGGGGCCTCTTTGTGGGCTTCTTGGAGCCTCTTGGGAAGCTCTGGGAAGCTCCTCCTGTGAGCTTCTTGGGGCCGAGGGCTCGAAATGTCCGTTCGGGCTCCCCGTCAATGCACGCTCTTGGAGCCGTCTTGGGGGTTCTGGGGCCGCCTTGGAGACGTTTTGGGTTGCCTTGGGGTTCTTTTGGAGCGCTCTTGGAAGCCTCTTGGGCCGTCTCGGGGCGATCTTGAGCGGCGGGAAACGGAAAAGGCAAGAACGCCCAAATCTGTCAAAAACCATTGAACAATCAATGTCTTTTTGCCTCTTGGGCCCTCTCGGGAATGCTTTTGGAGGCCTCTTGGGGCGTCTTGGATGTATCCTTGGTAGTCTGGGAGCGTGAAGGCGTTTTGGACCGATCGTTTGGTGATTGGGGCCCTCTTGGACCGTCTCGGGGGCCTCTCGGGGCACTCCTGGCTTGTTTGGGTACTTCGTGCTTCCCCGAGACCCCCAGGGGTGGATACGTATCTGACCCCCCCCCCGGGACCCACCCACCCCCGACGGGGGAGGGATCAAAGGGAAGGGGCTTCCCTTCGATTCGATTGCGACATTGTGAGTTTTTCCCGGAAAGGGCATCGGCCCAGGGTTCTCTTTTAGTAGGTAAACCTGTCCCCCGGTGCCAACTTGAGGGAGGCCGGCGAATTTTTTCCTTGATAAATAACGAGGTCGAAGGAGGCCGGCGAATTAAAATTTGAGGATGTCTCGAGCGAAACGCTTGTTTTTGAAATCCCGATCGATAAATCACAGGGTGCGGGCCACTTTTTCGTGTGTTGAGGATGTCTCGAGCGAAACGCTTGCTCCGCAGAGTTTGCCGAGGATGTCTCGAGCGAAACGCTTGTTTTGCAGAGCCGACCGCGACGCGGAAAAGCGCCCCGCGCGAAGGAATTTCGATGATGTCTCGACTAATTCGTTTGTTTTTCCCGGAAAGGGCGTGGGCCCAGGGTTCTCTTTTAGTTGGTAAACCTAATCCCCCGGTGCCAACTTGAAGGAGGCCGGCGAATTTTTTCCCTGATAAATAACGAGGTCGAAGGAGGCCGGCGATTAAAATTTGAGGATGTCTCGAGCGAAACGCTTGTTTTTGAAATCCCGATCGATAAATCACAGGGTGCGGGCCACTTTTTCGTGTGTTGAGGATGTCTCGAGCGAAACGCTTGCTCCGCAGAGTTTGCCGAGGATGTCTCGAGCGAAACGCTTGTTTTGCAGAGCCGACCGCGTCGCGGAAAAGCGCCCCGCGCGAAGGAATTTCGATGATGTCTCGACTAATTCGTTTGTTTTTGTACGATTTCCTGGATTTTTGGCAGGATGTCTCGAGCGAAATGCACGACCCCACCCTAGCACGACCATACCCCAGCACGACCACACCCCAGCACGACCAGACCCCAGCACGACCCCACCCCAGCACGACCCCACCCCAGCACGACCATACCCCAGCACGACCACACCCCAGCACGACCCGACCCCAGCACGACCCTACCCCAGCAAGACCACACCCCAGCACGACCACACCCAGCACGACCACGCCCCAGCACGACCACGCCCCAGCACGACCACGCCCCAGCACGACCACCTCCCAGCACGACCACACCCCCAGCACGACCACCCCCCAGCACGACCACACCCTAGCACGACCATAGCCCAGCACGACCACACCACAGCACGACCAGACCCCAGCACGACCCCACCCCAGCACGACCCCACCCCAGCACGACCATACCCCAGCACGACCACACCCCAGCACGACCCGACCCCAGCACGACCCTACCCCAGCAAGACCACACCCCAGCACGACCACACCCCAGCACGACCTCACCACAGCACGACCACACCCCAGCACGACCACGCCCCAGCACGACCACGCCCCAGCACGACCACGCCCCAGCACAACCACCCCCCAGCACGACCACCCCCCCAGCACGACCACACCCCAGCACGACCACCCCCCAGCACGACCACACCCCAGCACGACCACTCCCCAGCACGACCACACCGCCTTGGTTGAGTGGTTGCCTGTCGTCGTGGAATGTTTCGTGGGGTGTCTCGTGGAAGGTTTCGCGGGGTGTCTCCTGGAATGTTTCGTGAGGTGTCTCGCGGAATGTTTCGTGAGGTGTCTCGTGGGATGTTTCGTGAGGTGTCTCGTGGGATGTTTCGTGAGGTGTTGCCCCGTTGGGTATCGTGAAAACGTGCCCATGCTCCACATGTCTATATCCCTTTCCGGGTTCGTGGGTCCATCATGTTTCTCTCGCTGACAGGCTTGAGGAGGGTGCAGGGGAAGGGGGCGACGCAGACGACGACTGACGGAGACGACGACTTCGAACAGACAAACCCCTCGCACACGCCAGCAGGGTCGGCGGAGTTGCGCTTGCCTATGTTGGCGGGCAAATTTCCATCACCACTACCACATGTAGGACGGGGGAGAAGGGAGGATGAGGAGCTCCTCCTCTTCTTATTATTATTCGTCTTCTCATTATCGTATTATTATTATTGTTCTTATTATTCTTCTTATTATTATTCTTATGATTCGTCTTCTTCTTCTTATTATTCTTATTATTATTATTCGCCTTCTTCTTCTGATTATTCCCGGAAAGGGCCTGGGCCCAGGGTTCTCTTTTAGTGGGTAAACCTGTCCCCCGGTGCCAACTTGAAGGAGGCCGGCGAATTTTTTCCCTGATAAATAACGAGGTCGAAGGAGGCCGGCGAATTAAAATTTGAGGATGTCCGAGCGAAAGCTTTGTTTTGAAATCCCGATCGATAAATCACATGGGTGCGGGCAATTTTGCGTGTGTGAGGATGTCTCGAGCGAAACGCGCTCCGCAGAGTTTGCCGAAGAGGATGTCTCGAGCGAAAACGCTGTTTGCAGAGCCGACCGCGACGCCGGAAAAGCGCCCGCGCGAAGGAATTTTCCCCCCCCCCCCCCCCCCTGATGATGTCTCGACTAATTCGTTTGTTTTTGTACGATTTCCTGGAATTTTGGCAGGATGTCTCGAGCGAAATGCACGACCCCACCCTAGCACGACCATACCCCAGCACGACCACACCCCAGCACGACCAGACCCAGCACGACCCCACCCCAGCACGACCCCACCCCAGCACGACCATACCCCAGCACGACCACACCCCAGCACGACCCGACCCCAGCACGACCCTACCCCAGCAAGACACACCCCAGCACGACCACACCCCAGCACGACCTCACCACAGCACGACCACACCCCAGCACGACCACGCCCCAGCACGACCACGCCCCAGCACGACCACGCCCCCGCACAACCACCCCCCCGCACGACCACCCCCCCAGCACGACCACACCCCAGCACGACCACCCCCAGCACGACCACACCCCAGCCACGACCACTCCCCAGACACGACACACCCCAGCCGACCACACCCAGCACGACCACACCCAGCACGGACCCCCATCGATAAATAACAGCGTGCGGAGCACCCCAGCACGAACCCACCCCAGCACGACCCCACCCCAGCACGACCCCACCCCAGCACGACCACGCCCCTGCATGACCACACCCCAGCACGACCACACCCCAGCACGACCACTCCCCAGCACGACCCCACCCCAGCACGACCCCACCCTAGCACGACCACACCCCAGCACGAACACACCCCAGCACGACCCCACCCCAGCACGATCACACCCCAGCACGACCCCACCCCAGCAAGACCACACCCCAGCACGACCGCACCCCAGCACGACCTTACCACAGCACGACCACCCCCCAGCACGACCACGCCCCAGCACGACCACGCCCCAGCACGACCACGCCCCAGCACGACCAACGCCCCAGCACGACCCACGCCCCCAGCACGGACCACCCCCCAAGCAGACCACCCCCCAGCACGACCACCCCCAGCACACCCCCCAGCACGACCACACCCCAGCACGACCACTCCCCAGCACGACCACACCGCCTTGGTTGAGTGGTTGCCTGTCGTCGTGGAATGTTTCGTGGGGTGTCTCGTGGAATGTTTCGCGGGGTGTCTCGTGAAAAGTTTCGTGAGGTGTCTCGTGGAATGTTTCGTGAGGTGTCTCGTGGGCTGTTTCGTGAGGTGTCTCGTGGGATGTTTCGTGAGGTGTTGCCCAGTTGGGTATCATGAAAACGTGTCCATGCTCCACATGTCTATATCCCTTTCCGGGTTCGTGGGTCCATCATGTTCTTCGTTTTTATGCTAGTCGCGTGTCCTAACAGTGGATAATGG